CAGCAGTGGTAATAGTAAAAAAGTGGCGCGGTGGATCGGTAGGAGGGTAGAGGAGGAACGGCGAGGCGGTGGCAGGGCGGGCCAGGGGTTTCGAGATGGCAAGGCGGTGGAAGAGGGATGAGAGAAGAAAGAGAGGGTTGGTTTAGGCTGTTGCAGCGCCGGAGACGGAGAGGAAGGAGAGCCTCCGGTAATGAAAAGCGCGATCCGCATACCAAGTAGCAGCAACCTTCAACCTAACCTATATATAAGTCGGTATACTCTTGTATAACGGATAGTAGGTACGAAGTGAGTCGAGTCAGAATCCACATTGCCCGGAGGACCAATCACGTAGAAGAAAACTGCGGGGATCCCTTATTTCCGGTCTTGCGCGGCCTTGCCACCGTCTACTCCGCGCTGCAGCGCAGTGTTTGGTGATCTTCGAAATTTCGGAAGCGTTGATTCTCATTTGTTGAGAAATTCTGAGATTGGAGGTAGGTTTTTAACCTTTTCGCTGTGGAAGTCTGTGATATGCATAGGTATGATCAGCTCGTGAAGAGCATTGTTTGAACTTTTACACTCGAAAGCTTTTCGGTAGGAATATTCTATATTTTCTGAGAAAATATGGACGGTGATTCTTGAAACTTAACGATGAATCGCGTGTAGATTAGGAAACAAAGGAATTAGCACGAAACTGTGTTAGAATATTTATATTATAAACGGTGCTCGTCGAGTAAATAAATAGATAAACCAATCACCCTCGAAATCAAATAGTCTGATATAGAAAACACTATTATTTGTCGGGCTTACAAATCATTTCGACCTGGTCTTATAATTAGAACGATCTAATTCGATCGTGATGTATAATTAGAACTTGGCGATGGGAATGAAACTAATGCGATGGCCTAAAGGGCAGATAGACACGACAGCGTGTGATAAAACTGTTGCAGTAAGAAGAAAAAGGAAGAATCTTCTGTAAATCATCTCGTTCAAAGTTCTAAGACTTTTAATCTCTGATTTATTCTATTCCAAAACGAAAACATTATATTTCATATTTAACACGGTATAAACTGAAACTCTTTCGATATTTGATTGTAGTTACACAGTCTGTTACAAAATACCACGCACACCAATTGGAACTTAAATATTTAAAAAGAAAATGAAAGCTTGGCGATTTCATTTGACGAAATTCATCATCACTAACTAATCGTCAACGGTCAATAAATAACAACTAATATATAAAATTCATACATTACATTATTCATTTTCAAATTTAACGTTGCGTCGACTTCAACTTATATACGCAACGAACACAAATGTTTTCTTCACTTATTAAAACCCTCAATCTCCAATTCGCAAGAAAACCCCAAGAACCTCCGAAACTACCCTGTCCGCGACTAACACAGTCCGCGCAGAGCACTAAAGAGCTAAAGAACCAAACAACAGTCGCCACAAGACACTTCTACTCCGCCATCCGCAACTAGCGTACATATTTGAACAACCCCTAACGGGCGTTCAGCATTGTTGCTTCCGCAGTACGCTAACCGAGAAAGTAACCCGCCGATCGGACGTTAACTTCCGACCGAGTTGGCGCGCGATCGTTGCGGCGCGAGAAATCCATAAATTTTGATAGGCGTTAAATAAAATATTAGCGGGTTACGTAAGGAGGGGCGAAGGACCGTTGGAGGAGGGCGCTGGAGAGTTTTAGGATCGCACACGTCCGAGCCGCCGCCGGTTGGCGCGGCCGGTTGCTCCGGGAACCGACCGCCTCTCCCTGGGGAGCTCGGATCGTTAATCGCCTGGACGATTCGCCTTTCGCCTCACGTACGGGAATGGGCCGTGGAATCAGCGTAAAAATACAAATTTAATATCGGCCGGTGGATCGGTCCGCTGACCAGTCGTTGCCCGCGGATACACCGTTGTCGGTGAACATCATGCCCTCTACGTGGGCTAGAAGCTAAGGGACAACCGGTTGATTAGCACTTCCGGTCGACCCGGGGCCGCGTAAAAACCTCGATACTGGAATGTTTGCCCGCCACCGTTGTTCCGACGGTCTGGTCTTTCTTCGGCCGCGCATCCGCCGATTTATCGGCTATTTGTGCGCCTTTGCTGATGGACGTGCGAAGAATTTTCGGGGACTCTACGGAGTACTGGGTGCTTAGGGTTGTGCTGTGCTGGACACGTGAACTCGGACATCGGTAGATCTCCTTTTTGTTGGTTGCTGTGGATGTTTTAGTATTTTGGGAGTAGAACTATTAGGTCGAGGAAACTGTTGGAGTTATTAGGTTTAGTGGGAAGTTCCGATTTTTTAATGTTGTGGGGGTGGGATCGTTACTCCAGAAAAAAGTTTGTTGAAACTATATAGTATCTTCAGTAAGAAGTTCAACTTTTTTAATATTATGAGGATAGACCTATTAGGTTCAGAAGAAAGTTTGTGAAAGGACAACATTGCTTTGAATGTTAATTCTTTGAACATTTTTACTGACTCTTGCTTCGAAAATAAAGAAATTATCTAAAAAATAATATATACTCTTGTAATTGTCTTAATTCATACATACAGTGTTTTGTCTTTCCTCGTTCGCATATTTGATTATTAACTCAAAATATAAATTCGTTGACATCATTTATTTAGCACTCTCTGCTATATAAACTTGCCGAAAAATCGAATTTAAACACACTCAAAAATAAACTTAAGAATACTGTAGAATATAGAATAAAAATATAGGAAATTCACTCAGAACAACCCAAATATGAAAATTAAAGCGAAAAGCAAGTGGTATCATTACAGTCCGAAATACTTGCATCAAGCAATTTTCCTAGCAAACCCATTGACACCGCCAATAATTGATCCGTTCCGGCGATTCACGAGGAGACACCCAAACAAAGACGGAAAGTCAGCATCGCCGGCGGAACTATTACCGTTCCATATCTCGAGCCACCCCCGTTTTATCGGTCCAATCGGAATTCCTCTTTCCATTATCTGTTTCTCTCGTGCCGTAGCTCGCAGGGTGGAGAGATTTGAAGGGCAGGTGTAGGGAGGGAAAGAGAGA